CTTACTGATTCTATTGAATTATTTTGGGTTACTTGTGGTCAATCAGAGGAGAAAACGAATCTTATTGAGGAAGTTTCATGGTTAGATTATGGCCACCGAGGAATGCAGGTAATGAACTGCTATTACAGCTTTGATACCGTAGTGTGTTTAGCTTGATCATTTTTTGAGCTCTCTTCATAGTAATGTACTACTCTGATATTTATTCTGGTTGGAAGTTTCTTTTTTCAGGTGTGGTATCCATCTCTGGGGGTTGATCCTTTTAAGCAGGAGGATTTCTTGCAGGTACGTATGTATAAGAAAAGTGTTCTCTATGTTGTGGATTGTTGGCAGATAGTTATGCTATTACCAGATATACGGAATTGGTGCATAGAATGTTTAGGTATTTATTTATTTATTATTTAAAAAATAAAAATAAAAATAATGCTTTCCATTTCGTTTCAATGCCCGTTTATGTGTCCTAAGTCTTTATATTTGATAACTTGTCTTGTTCATAAAAGAATTCAGAACAAAAAGTTGGGTTGCCTTTGTTTCTTGAAGATATTGATTTTTATTTCTGATTGGATGGAGCTTAGTGGAACTTAAAATACTCTGGCCTGTCCTTTTTCTCTGATTGTTTAAATGACTCAGCATCATTTTTTCAGTTGGATCCGGAGCTTGAATTTGATCGTGAGGTATACCCTCTGGGACTTCTTCCAAATGCTGGTGTTGTTGTTGGTGTTTCCCAGAGAATGTCATTTTCAGCCAGCACAGAGTTTCCCTGTTTTGAGCCAACTCCTCAAGCTCAAACTATATTGCATTGCCTTCTAAGGCACCTCATTCAGGTACTAATTTTCCATTTTCTTTGATTTGGGGGGGTGACCTTGAGTTTCTAGACTCAGAGGCTACTTTTGTGACCTCAAGCCTTTGGCATTATCTGATTTTCTAGAGGAAGGTTGCTTAAATCTTAAAGTACTTTTTTGTGTAAAGTTTTCTCTGCAAATAGGTTGTATTGGGTATATGATTTATGTTTGCTATGCACTTCTGAACTTCTGTTGACCAACTAGGAAAATTGGTAGACTTTATGAAATCCGGTTGGTGCCTAGAGCCTTGCAGTTTATCATTTCATAAGCTATAGGAAAATCGGAGTTGTATATTTGATACTGGTTGGTGTTATTAGACTTCTTTTGAGCATTTGTGAGATATGTTTGATGGAATATTCTTTTGACAAGCATGGGTGTGATGGATATAGTTCTGTGCTTGGTTTAAAATATTCTTCTTGGTTATTTTGTTTCTGTCTGCTAGAGGGACAAAAGTGAGGAAGCTTTAAGGTTGGCCCAATTATCAGCAGAAAAGCCTCATTTTTCTCATTGTCTGGAGTGGCTTCTCTTTACTGTGTTTGATGCAGAAATATCCAGGTATGTCTTTTGAGGGAAAACAAAATAAAAACTGCATCTAGCTTAAGGACTTGCATCAAGTCTCCTGTCAGAATGACTAATTAGCCTTCTTGGAACCCAAAATTACTGGGGATTACTTTTTACTTGGTTTCCTAAGAGAACCATCTTAGAGTGGGTATAACTACTGCTTAACTGAAATACCTATAACAGTGGGTCACATAGTGGGAAGCAGCCCACTCATCCCTAGCTAAGGTAGGAACCAGGAAAAAGAGCAAGTTATGTGGTATGTTAATTATCAATGACTTGATGGCCTTGATGAGATGTTTCCCTCCTCTTGAATCGATTATGTTTTGAAGAAAATTTAGTAGAGTGTAAGCCCATTGAACTTGGTAAAATGAAATGATTGATAATTGAGAAAATGAATTATTCTAGCTGAACGAGCAACTTGCAATTGATTGTATAAGGTGTTTTGGTGACTGGGGTACCTGGGTGTGTGATGTAGGATATGGGTGAGTTGAGTATTTGGGTAATTTAGCGGAAGCGAAAACAATGGAGAAACAGAAACTAGGTGGTAAAAGATGCCTTGGCGTCACACCAAAAGAGTTTGGCTTCACACCAAGGAGTCTCCAATCTCTGGAAAATAAACTTTTCTTAATATCTCAAATCTGAATTTTAAGAACTACATAGGGAGTATTTATAGCAAACTAAACCTAGAGACAAAAGGATAAAAATCCCTTACTAAAAAGGAATCCTAATCCACAAAGGAACCAATCCAAACAAGCTAGGAAACTTAAATCAAATCCTACTAAAAACTGGAAACTAAAACTTAATAAAATCTGGAAAATCTAGAAATCCTAGTGAAATCTGGAATCTGAAAAAAAAATAGTTTTCCTATTGAAATCTGGAAACTCAGATTTCACCCCAACCATAATGATAATGTTGGCTTGGCTGATCGTTTCTTCCTTTGGTAAACCTTAAAAGGTTTGTCACTGATGTCCGCATCAATTCCCCCGGGCTGAAGAGAGCTCGACTCCGGCGAGATAAAACTGTAGTAACGCTCAAGAATGTCGGGATCAATGCGTTGTAGGTCCTCCTGTGTAATCCAAGTACTATCTGAATTTGGTCTATTCTTCCACTTGACTAGGAACTTATGATATCCACCTTGTCTAGTAGAAACAATCTGATCATCCAAAATATCTTCAACAATGTCCTTTTCTTTAGGCGTAGGGCACGGTAAGAGTGGGGTTAGAGAAGAAAAATCAGATATAGAAAATGGATCTGAATTCTCGACAGAAGTATTGTCAGAAGCGGCAGGTTCCTTGTATGGCGCCAAATCTTCAATATTAAAAATTGGGCTGATCCCCATTTCAGGAGGGAGCTCCAACATATAGGCATTTGAGCCTAATCGCTTCAAAACTTGAAAAGGTCCCATGCTACGAGCTTGCAGCTTCTTTGCAATTCCCTGAGGAAATCGTTCTGGCTTAATTCGAACCATAACAAAATCTCCAACTGAAAATTCCTTCAATCTGCGATGAACATCAGCATCCCTTTTATATGTGGCATTGCTCTTGTTAATCCTTTGAGTAATCTCAGCATGTAAGTCATGAATGTGGCGTGCAAATTCATTGGCATATGCAGATGATCTATGCGAAGCGGACATGGGCATGAGGTCTATAGGAGCCCTAAGTTTATGACCATACACAACTTCAAACGGACTCATCCCAGTTGTTCTGTTGACTGAATTATTATAAGCAAACTCCGCAATAGGTAACACAGAATCCCATGACTTAATGTGCTCACCAACCAAACATCGCAACAAATTGCCCAAACTTCGGTTAACCACTTCGGTTTGCCCATCTGTCTGTGGATGATAAGCAGAAGAAAACTGGAGTTTAGTACTCATCATGCGCCATAAAGTCTTCCAAAAATAACTCATGAATCTAACATCACGATCCGATACTATAGTCTTAGGCACACCATGCAAACGAACCACGTCATCCATGAAAAGTTTAGCCACTTTAGAAGCATCGAATGTCTTAGAGCAAGGGATGAAATGGGCCATTTTGGAGAAACGGTCCACAACCACAAAGATAGAATCGTGCTTCCTCAGTGTCGTAGGTAGCCCAAGTACAAAATCCATGCTGATATCTTGCCATGGAACATGGGGTACTGGTAATGGAGTGTACAACCCTGTATTTTGCCTTCTATGTTTTGCAAGTTGACAAGTACGACATCGTTCCACAATCTTGGCAACATCACGTTTGAGACTTGGCCAATAAAATCTGTCTTCCACAAGAGCAATGGTTTTGTCTCTCCCAAAATGACCAGCTACTCCACCGGCATGCAACTCCAAAACCACAAAGTCTCGTACTGATGTGCGGGGAACGCAAAGTTTATTACCCTTGAAGAGAAAACCATCTTGTAAAACAAATTCATTACTTCTGGATTTGTCTTCTGAAAGTGCAGCATATACCTTCCCAAAATCTGGGCATATTGAATAGTCTTCTTTCAATCTTTCAAATCCGGAAACTTCCACACTCATAGTACATATAAGAAAAACCTTACGACTGAGAGCATCTGCTGGTTTATTCTCCACACCAGCTTTATGCTTCAACACAAACGTGTACTCTTGAAGGAACTCAACCCACTTTGCATGGCGGGAATTTAATTTCTTTTGTGAACCCAAATATCGAAGAGCCTCATGGTCTGAAAATAACACAAATTCTTGTGGTAACAAATAATGCCTCCAATGTCTCAATGCTTGAACAACTGCGTAAAACTCTTTGTCATAGGTAGAATATTTTTGCTTGGCTTCATTCAATTTCTCGCTGAAATAAGCCACTGGATGCCCTTCTTGACTCAATACTCCACCTATCCCTACCCCTGATGCGTCACAAGCTACCTCAAAAGGCTTTACGAAATCTGGAAGACGCATTACTGGAGCCTCAACCATTTTAGCCTTAATCTCTTTGAATGCCTTTGCAGCAGCATTAGACCAGTGGAATTCTCCCTTCTTCATGCAATCGGTGAGAGGAGCCGTGATTGAACTAAACCCACGAATAAAACGATGATAAAATGTGGCTAATCCATGAAAACTACGCACTTCGTGGATATTTGTCGGTTCTGGCCAACTAATAATGGCCTTCACTTTTTCCGGATCAGCTTTCATGCCTTCAGACGATACAACAAACCCCAAGAAGATAACTTCACTAGTCATGAAGGAACACTTCTTAAGGTTAGCAAACAACTTCTCTGCTCGAAGAACCATGCAGACTTGCTTTAGATGGCTAAGGTGTTGCTCTTGTGAGGTGCTATAGATTAAGATATCATCAAAATAAACAACCAAGAATTTACCCATGAATGGCCTCAAAACTTGTGTCATAACTCTCATGAAAGTGCTTGGTGCGTTGGTTAGTCCAAAAGGCATGACTAACCATTCATATAGGCCGTCTTTTGTTTTGAAGGCTGTCTTCCACTCATCTCCTGGCCGAACACGAATCTGATGATATCCACTTTTCAAATCTATCTTGGAAAAGATAGTGGCACCGGTCATCATATCCAACATGTCATCGAGCCTTGGTATGGGGAACCGATATTTGACTGTAATTTTGTTGATAGCCCGACTATCTATACACATTCTCCACGTGCCATCTTTCTTGGGTGTGAGTAAAGCGGGTACGGCACAAGGGCTAAGGCTCTCCTGAATAAATCCTTTAGCAAGAAGCTCATCAACTTGTCGCTTCAACTCTGCATGTTCTGTGGGATTCATTCGATAGTGAGGTAAATTGGGTAACGTTGACCCAAGAACAAGATCAATCGCATGTTGAATGTCTCGGAGAGGAGGAAGTTCATTTGGGAGATCATCGGGGAACACATCTTGATACTCTTCTAAAATCGGTCTCACCGTGGAAGGCACTTCCATATTAGTGAAACGCCCTGATTCCCTTACGGCTAGAACATATATGGGGGCATCTTCTACTTCTTTAATAAATTCTTTCAAAGTAATGATGTGCAAGGCTTTGGATTTGCTTACTTGACTCTTTTCCTCCTTGCTTGGTGTAGGGTTATTCACAATCTTGGGTTGAAGTGGCTTCAACATGACTTTCTTCCCTTTGTGGATGAATGAACAAATGTTTTCTCGGCCTAAGATAGTCACATTGTGATCGTATATCCATGGCCTTCCCAAGAGAATATGACCCACATCCATGGCCACCACATCACACCAAATATGATACTTGTAAGACGAGAATTGAATAGGAACTTGACATCGCTGGGTAACAGGGATGGAAGAAGTATTGTCGATCCATGCTACTCTGTATGGTTCAGGATGCTTTTCGGTTGATAAGCCAAGATGCGAGACAGTAAGTGTTGATACAACATTGATACAACTGCCATTATCTATGATCACTTTCCAATCTTTATAACCAGACTTGATGTAAGTGTGAAAAATGGAAGTTCTACGCCAATCCTCAGTTTCTTTCCTAGGTTGAGCCAAAGTACACCTTACTACTGATAATGTTGGATGAGGGGCTTCAAAGTCGTTTCCACAATCTTCAGCAGGTTGTTGGGGCTCATAAACATCTTCCTCAAAATCGCCTTGATCGTCAGTTTGTTTGTCAATGTTTGTGATCAGACTTCTTGTTGTCTCCTTCGTTGGGCATTGGACAGCAAAGTGTCCAAAACCTTGGCATTTATAACATCTTTGTGTTCCACCATTTCGTGTATCCACTAGTGCTCCTTTTCCTTTGTCAATTCTAACTGAACTTGTCGTTGTGAGACCCTTAGACGTTGCATTAGGCTTTGTCCCAGATGTACCAGCACGAAAATCAGATTTGTAAGGATCAACTCGCTTGACTACATTGGAAGATGTCAAATACTTCTCTAATTCTTGTACTATCTGAAAAACCCTCTCTAAGGTATTCACCGTATGAGGAATTAATTCTCTTTGAAGCTCTGGACGAAGTCCTGATCTAAACCGCGAAAGAGTCATCCTTCGATCTTCCCTTATGTTACATCGCAGCATGAATTCCTCAAATTTAGCAATATATTCAGCAACTGGCATGTCGTCTTGACGAAGAGTTTGCCACTCGTCCAACAAACTCTGTTCATAGGATAATGGTAGATATTTCTGCTTCAACCTTTCTTTCATCTCACCCCAATGGATGATTGGTTCTTCACCAGCTCTCTCTAGCTGAGTTTCAACATTGGTCCAAAACAATCCAGCTTGACCCACCAATTTTATCTTAGCAAATCTCACCCTTCGAGCTTGAGACATGTCATGCCACTCAAAATAGCGATCCATGGTAGCCAACCAGTCGAGTAGTGCTTTAGGGTTTAGCTCCCCATCAAAATTAGGAGCGTCAACTTTCACTGATCTCATCACCCTTTCATCAGGGTCTTGCTCATATCCACGATGAAAATTGTGTCTCTCTGCGTCTCGATCATTCCTTCTATCATGACGTTGTCGATCATGATTCCTCTCTTCTCCATTCACGCTTGTTTCATCATGTTGGTTTGCTGTTTCTAAGTCTGCAAGGCGACGTTCCACGAGTCTGGATCTAGTGTCTGAATCTGCCACTTGCTTTGATAAGTTTTCCATCATCTGAATAAGACGTTCAAAGTCCGTCTCTGGTTCATCTGTCTTTCCAGGCTTAGTCGGAGCCATCACTTGACACACGGTGTGAAGAACAAGAAATACTCAAAAAGTTTGACCCCAAGGAAAACGAAAACCTGGCTCTGATACCAAATTTGATGTAGGATATGGGTGAGTTGAGTATTTGGGTAATTTAGCGGAAGTGAAAACAATGGAGAAACAGAAACTAGGTGGTAAAAGATGCCTTGGCGTCACACCAAAAGAGTTTGGCTTCACACCAAGGAGTCTCCAATCTCTGGAAAATAAACTTTTCTTAATATCTCAAATCTGAATTTTAAGAACTACATAGGGAGTATTTATAGCAAACTAAACCTAGAGACAAAAGGATAAAAATCCCTTACTAAAAAGGAATCCTAATCCACAAAGGAACCAATCCAAACAAGCTAGGAAACTTAAATCAAATCCTACTAAAAACTGGAAACTAAAACTTAATAAAATCTGGAAAATCTAGAAATCCTAGTGAAATCTGGAATCTGAAAAAAAAATAGTTTTCCTATTGAAATCTGGAAACTCAGATTTCACCCCAACCATAATGATAATGTTGGCTTGGCTGATCGTTTCTTCCTTTGGTAAACCTTAAAAGGTTTGTCACTGATGTCCGCATCAGTGTGTTCCTTAGTATCCTTAATTTCAGATAAACTTCGAGTTCCTTTTGCAATACATTCATGCTTTCGATGTGTCATGGCCACACACTGAAGTTTGAATTCCACTATATATTCTCATTAGTCAATTTTATGTTTTTATGTAACTATTTGATCTATTTTTGGCCATTAACTATTTTATCTATATGTTAGTCACTTTGCATGTCTATTTGCAGTCAAAACGCAAACAAGAATCAGATCTCTGTCCCTAAATATGCAAAGAATTCCACTCTCTTAGAGAAGACCTGTGATTTGCTCAGAAATTTTCCAGAATATTTTGATGTGGTTGTCAGTGTTGCCAGAAAAACTGATGGTCGACATTGGGCGGATTTGTTCTCTGCTGCTGGGAGATCAACAGAGTATATTTGTTTACTTATCTGTTTTTATTCTTTCCTTTTCTTTTTGCTTTTAAGTAACATTACTTTACGACCTGTGTTTATTTACCTAGAACTTCTGTAACAAAGAAGATAATGTTGAGGTAAAGCACTTCTGCAAAAACATTTGTTTTCCTTTTTCTTTAGAAGTGAAAAAGGAAAAGCTTCCACAAATTACAGATACCCTGGAAAATGATTTATATATTCTTTTGTTCTTTCTTTTTTAACCCCGTTGGTCTGTGAACCAAATAAGATTTGATTTGAAGATGATGTTTGAAATTTATTTGGGTAGGTTTTATACTATCATATTTACCAACTGCTGATCTACTGCCTGGAAACTTTTTAATCATTAAGTTGTGACTATCTTTATTCTGTTTTTCAATTAACAGGTTATTTGAGGAATGCTTCCAACGTAGATGGTACAGGACTGCTGCCTGCTATATACTTGTAAGATATTGGATAGATTAATATTCTGCTTCAGTTTCTTTTCTTTTCCTTTGACGTTTGACATAAGTTTTCCCTTATTAGGAGGATTAGTTAGAATTTTGCCCAGTATAATTATGAATCTTGCACACTTTTTGTTATGAGTGGGAGTGCAGTTTAAATGTGACAACCGATCAGTTCAATTGTATTTGCATCGGTGCTGTTAAAGAGTAGAAAATTTTGAAACTTGCTGCTCATTATTGATACCATTTTTGAACAAGGTTCCCCATATTTTCTGCTTCACTAGCTAAATGTGAAAACCTCCAACTTGTATGGGAAGAATATGCTAAAAAGTGGCCAACCTGTGATGCTTATGTGGTTCTATTAATTCATATTATTTTGAATGTCCCAGGTGATTGCTAAGCTTGAAGGTCCTGCAGTCAGTCAGTATTGTGCTTTGCGTTTATTACAGGTAGATGTTTGTAGTAGGTTACTCCTTTGGAAGTACATCTCTTGCTATTGAGTGTGTATCTCCATGTGGTTTCTTACAAAGGTTCTCAACCCTATGCAGGCAACACTTGATGAATCGTTATATGAACTTGCTGGGGAGCTGGTATCTATCTGGTCAAGTTTATGTGCTACTTTTTAGTTGCAGCAATAAAAGCTGTAAAAGGTGTAACTAACTTTGTTTGACTCTTAGGTGAGGTTCTTGCTAAGATCTGGAAGGGAATATGAACAACCATCAACAGATTCAGAAAGACTATCTCCCAGATTCTTGGGCTATTTCGGTTTCCATTCTACTTTCAGAAAGCAGTCATTGGATAAGAGGTTGGTGCACACTTATGTAATGTTTTGCATGTCGTGTACCTAGCTTGACCATATGATGGAGACTAACCAGGCATTCCTTTGGAGCAGCACCTCATTTAAGGAGCAGAACGCACATGTTGCGTCGGTGAAGAACATCTTAGAAAGCCATGCTAACTATTTGATGTCAGGCAAAGAGCTTTCGAAGCTAGTTGCATTTGTGAAAGGCACCCAGTTTGATTTGGTGGTAAGATAAGCTTGCATTTATTATTAGGATGATTTTGTTTTTATTGTCAAGTGGTTTTAAATTCTACCAATTTATTACAGGAATATCTTCAAAGAGAGAGATATGGAAGTGCTCGGTTGGAGAATTTTGCTTCAGGGCTGGAATTAATAGGACAAAAGGCATCAGCATCTGAAACTCCCTTTGTTCTAATTTTTTTTCTTTCAATTTTTTGTTAAGAAATTAAGCCACATTGTCACATCTTACAGAAGTTGCCTTTTCACCACTTACTGACTGAACAGTCTTCTATGTTTCCAGCTCCAAATGGGTACGCTGCAGAGCCGGTTTGATGCAGAATTCCTTCTGGCACATATGTGCTCTGTCAAGTTCAAAGAGTGGATTGTTGTCCTTGCAACTCTTTTAAGGCGTGCTGAGGTATAATTCACTTCATTTCTCACAAATCTCTGACATATGATAAGCATGCCAGCATCATTGGTATGTGTGTGCTCATTTCATTCATTGTGAATGTCAATGATGGGAAGGTCATTAAGAAAAAATCATATTTTCACTTGAACATCGATACATTCTACAAACTAAAATAACCATAATAGCTAGTTCTGAAGTTGTCAGGGTACTAAGACCCTTTGACCATGAGTGATGCCAACTTTGTAAATTTTCCTCGATCTGCCTTTTATTTCCTTGTGAAATTTGTACAGGTTCTATTCGATCTATTCCGGCATGATATGCGGTTATGGAAAGCATATAGCATCACCCTGCAGGTATTTCATGGTTAAATGCACTGTCCACAATAATTGCCATATGTGTCTCTACATTGATGATGTCCTCTGTTGATCTATGCTTTTCAGTCGCATGCTGCATTTTCTGAATACCATGATCTTCTTGGAGATTTGGACGAGCAACTTTCATCCATTGCTTATGAAGAGAAGTGAGGTTACACTTGTACCTGTAAATCTGTTTTCTGCTTGACAACGAATTGGTGAGCATTCAGTAGCTTTTCTCCATGAACATCTTTGTTTGCGGAGTAACATGTCGATCGGATCATGTAAAAATCAATAAGCAACTAACTCAACCTGCTGAAGAGCCAGATGAGGAGCACTGAGTTGACGCCAAAGGTCTACCCAAATACAATTTTTTTATTTTATTACAATAATCAAATTACTGGCCTCGCTGAAATTAGATATTCTTGTAGATAAGGATGGCTGGGAACTTCTTGTTAGGGAGTTCCATGCAAAGTCTTGCTTGAGGGTTTTATTTTAGTTTTCTTCATTTATCACATATTGTATATTTTTTTTGGCTAGTATTACAAGGCTATTTGTATGAGTTTTTGTTTTGGTAAACATTTGTATGAGTTTTTTTTGTTGGGTAAACATTTATGAGTTACTTGTGTAGAACCTGAACCCACGCTCAATATTTTGCATTTATATTTTTTGACAAAGCGCTATTCTAAACCACCCTAATCGACGAGAAGTAGAGGGATTCGAATTCGGACACAAGAGGCGAGCGTATTTTCCCAGCCAATTGACCTAACTCATGATATTTTACATTTTTAAGCAGAATTTTTTTGAATATTTTATGCCTTGATGTCCAAGAATTTTATGTTTTAATTTCTAAACGGAAAATGCTAAACCTTGGTTGGCCTCTGGAGTCCCAAAAAGTTGGCGATTGTTTGAAATTGAATATTAAAATTATCTTGGGATAGGCCATGAAACTCGAAGTCCCAGAGGTATCTAAATTTACTAGTATGTTTTGTTTATGTTAAAATCTCCTCCATTTTCATGCAATTTCAAAGAATAACTTGTGAGTCAATTATCCAATTTGTTGAAGTTGAGATTTTCAGTTTTGAATATTCAAGCAAAATAAGAACGACCAATAAATAAATAAAACCAGTACACATTTGCACTAATTGCATTTTAATTTTTATACTGCCGTACTTCCAATTTATACATTTACAACTACCATCAAATGAAAAAAAAAAAAAAAAAAAAAAAAACATACATAAATCAGCCCTAGATGATGACTGAATCACCAGCTAAAGCTGATGGACTCAAAATGCACATTTTCTACCAAACCAGATGAGCAAATGGTTGCAACCTCATGCCTCAGTTTCTTAGGGCCACTCACAAGAACTCCAACACTTGATCCTTTAAACTCGAATATCATCTCTGCAAAAATAAAAGATTTCAAAAATAAATAAATAAAGGATAATTTCTTCAGCTCAGAAATAACAAATATAAAACCCTCTATTTTTTATTTTTTATGTTGAAGTAAATATAGGTGTGACAATAAAATGACTTACTCTTGAGGTCTGGTCTTCCACCATAGTGCACATTGGTTGCCTGGGCAAGAGACTGTTGGGGAAGGCTCTCCAATTCTCTGTCAGCATTATAAAACAGTGATTCTGGTGTCCCCATTGGTGCTGGCCCTTCCATGTTCTGAATCTGCTTATTTTGCATAGCATTCTTTTTCTTGTTCCAAAAAACTACTGCACTAGCTGTTGAGGCTATGGCTGCACATATAGCCAACATGTTCAGCACAGATCTTAACCAATTCACAAAAATGGCGTTGGAGTTGTGATCGATCGGGTAAATGTAGTAGCGCGTAATGATCCCGATCAAGATTAGGAACATGATGAAGGAGGATGCTATTATGAGGGCGAGACAGAGCCAGTGATTTTTGCCTAAAATGGGTGATATGGGTGCATCAGTTGCCAGGGGCTTGAACCATATGGCTCTAAGGGGCTTTGAGCCATCTGTTTTTGGTTCTGTCTCTCTTGTCACATAGGCCTCAATTTGGAGCTCCAGGTTGGACATGTCAATTGAGGTGCTGGACATGGGAAGAATGAGGTCTAGCATGGTGAGGTCCAATGAGCTTTTGAAGGCACAGATTAAGACCACTTTTGGAACTCTGCATTTCAATGCTGTGCTCATCAAGAGGAACTCTCTGATTATGGAGATGAAAGGGGTAATTCCACTGCCTCCACTCACCATCACAAGGGTGTCATGCCTGCAAAAAGATATCATTCCTTAAGTGTTATGAATTGGGATTGTTCCATATTAAGTATCTAATAAGAACCCGATGACACTTGAAATTATGAAAGATAGTTAAGTTGAGGATAATATCGGTGCAACATAAGGAAAGAACTATTATGTTTTATTATGGTGCAAACCTTAGAAAATGAGTTGAATCAGGTCCATAAGGCCCTTCAACAGCAACCTCAATCCGATCAGTAGGAGAAGGGGTTGATACCATTTGGTAAAGCTTCTTGGTCCAGCTTCCTTCAGCTTTGATGACAATGCTAATCTTTTCGGGTTCCAAACTACTGTTGGAAGTCACAGTGAAAGGATGCCATTGCATCTTGGAAATACTAGGCACATTTATGAACATGACGCTTGTAGGATTATATTTCAGACCTACCAATATAAAACACAAGAAAAAAAAACATCAAGTACGTACATGATAACAAATCATCATAATTCATAATAAGTATAGCCCATTATAGATGTCGATTTAGTAATATCTTATGTTGTTAGAAAGGGACGTATCAGTGCTTCGAAATCTACCTGGGCTCTTGGCGAAGTTGAGTTCTAGGGCTTCACATGGCAAAACTCGTGAGCAGATTAATCGAGCTCTTGTTCCGGATTGCAAGAATCTCAAGAAACGATCAACCAAGAAGAGGTAGAAACCAGGGAGCATCATGCAAGAGTAGGACATGCCCACATGAAGGATGAAGAAGATCATAAAGAGGATGTAAAGGTAATGAGTGTAGAAGAAGAGCTCAAAGATTTTACGCCTAATGCGAGGGATGGCAGTCGCCCACATGATCAGTCCAAAGAGCAAAGATAGCTCTCCGGCTATATTTGATATCCCAGTTTTGTCCCATTGCACCATCTGCATTAAAACAAACATGTAACACTTTAATTATGGTATATATAAAAAATCTACATGAATGGAGGAAGTCATAACTCGGGAGTCAGGAAACTAGGAATATGAGAATTAAGGAATTGAAATATTGGATCAACTACTCCCCTAGTTGTTCAATTCTTAATTTTAAAGGTATTGAATTGCAAATTTTAAAGTGGGAGGTAGGAATTAGAATAATTCCAATACTCCTGATAAGTAAAGGTGCTAATAGTTTAATTATTTACCTCCGAAATTTGACCTGTGGCAGCCCAATAGATGACGTAACAAACGCCATGAGCTGTGAAGAGGAGCATGACTAGGTGTCCAAGCCATATATGGTACTTGATGCTGCCCTCAGAGGTGAGGCCAAATAGTGCCAGGATTGAAGACCCTCGAGCCACTGGGAAGAAAAGAAATGCAAGGCATATGTTCCCAACAAGGCCTAGCCTCAGTGCTGCACTATCCAACTTAGATTCCCATCTGCCAAACAAAAGCAAAACACCAAATACAAAATGAATTAACTAATTAAACCCTAATTGTGCTATTTACTTAATCTCAAGTTTTAGGAAATTATAAGGTTACATTTTTTCGTGGTTCTTTGCTGCTGATTTTGGGGTGATATTGGCAAAACTGTTGTGCAAGTATGTTGAGAATGACCAAATCAGGAGTGCAATGAACATGATGAAGAAGGCCAGCTCTATGCCGGAAACAATTCCTAGGGGGCCTTTTACCAGCATAGGCTTTTTCCATACGGCAAACCGATTCTTTGTGCCATTGCTGCTGCTGATAATTAAAATCCGACAACGAAAGGAAAACAACATTATACATAATCGAAACATATTGAAGAATCTAAACAACACATTCATGCAAGAACAATAAGCTTCTATTAATAGTCCAAATTTAGAGTCTGATAACATAAACATTTTCCGTGCTTTGCATATGCCACGCACCTTTCCACTTTATAATCGTTCAACTTCTTTCCCAGATGGAGAAAGACACAACCCAACAGCGCAAGGAACAAAATGGGAAATGTGAACATCACAATATTTGAACCTGCAGCAAGTAACACACAAATACAGTATGATTATAAGCAACCTTCACCTAAGAAATTAAACCAAAAGCATGCAAAAAGATAATAATTAAGATTTTAATCACAACCTTCTGACCCCAGATAGGTACTTGAGTTAGTCTTTTGTCTGATTTGAAGCCGCCAAATTTGAGAATATGTGTTGGTGGGCATCATGAACCAAACAAAAAGAGACCCCAAAAACACTAAAAAAACTGCTAGCAGCCTTATTGCTGCCCTCATAACATGAATTCCTACATGGGAAGGAGGTGATGAACTTTTCACAACCTGAGCATCCATCTCTCTCTCTCTCTCTCTCTCTCTGAGTGACTCTTAGAGAGCTCAGTGACTTAATTAAACAAGTTTAATTCTATATTAAGAATGTCAATGAGAATGGCGTATATTTATAGGAGGGAATGTGTTATATTAGAGTAATGCAGATAGAATCTAAGGCTTTGGACTTATGGAAGAAGGCATGGTTCACGTCCCTGGCTAAGATAATCCAATGTAAAATTTGTTTACACTAAACTGCTGACGTGGCACGTCACAAGTTGGGGTGGGGTGGTGATCAAACTGATTTTATTTTCAAGTCAACCATATCTGCAAGGGTCATGCAGCTTTTGACGATTGGTTAAGAAACCCTAAAAGGCAAAACACCTTGTGTTGAATGTGAAAGGGGTGTTGTATTGTAATTTGCAAAACACGTTTTTTGATGTGATATTATTATTTTTTATTTAAAAAAAGTCTAAATTTGTAATTGAAAATAGTGCTCTTAAAAGGCACTTTTTGGGTTGTTTCTTTTTGTTTTGTACATTATTCGTGCACCAAAAATGGGTTAAATTCCTGGCCAAAACAAGAAAAATTTGTGGTTCGAATGAGGTAAGATGGGGTTGAAGCAAGGGGCCACGTGCCTTACGGTAAATTTCGTAAGGCAGGCTTGTGTCTTATGTGTGTATTGAATGTTTCAGTGGCTGATGTGTGAGGCTGTGAGAGGGAGATGAGTAAAACTCCTGTGTCATACACATTTTCCTGATAACTATTACTATTTTTACCTCATGTTTATCAGTAATCCAAGTGGTTAGTAACAATAGCACACATATCTCGGGATCTTAATTGTATGGATGTACTATTTTATCCTCGATTAGATTGGATCTTTTAGTTATTCAAATGTATAAGCTAAAATGGATAGTTCATTATTAAAATCTTAATTGATATGAAAATCTTCCATTTGTAAAGGATCTCCAATTTGATTGATTATTTTTTTCTTCAGAGATTATGCAACAGTCCCGATCTCCTGGACCCATGGAGGTCCAAGAGATTTGTAGTCACCCACCGTTGGATATTAATCCAACGGTTCAAAAAAGTTTTATAAAATGAATGAACAGTTCCGATGGTAACATGTCTATGGTTTCGTGAAATGGTCCGGTTAAAACCGGGTTGATCTGATATATTCACTGCATAAGCAAACACATAAGTATCTTTACATTTCATACTATTTCATACAGCCTATAGAATAGCAATACAACACTCCTTTTCAAACTTAAAACTTAGAATTACAAAACATCAGCTGGTACTTATTGATCCTATATTGCTGTCCTATTTAACTTGATGGCTGTGCATTGCCATGCTTGGCATTAGCTTCTGAAACATCCATGGGCAGTCTCGACCATGCCACAAACCCCTCGGCATTCATCTTTCTTCGCATAACCAAAGATATACTTAGCAGCAAACAGGCAGCAGCAACCAGAGGAACCACAAAACCAACATGTCCACTTGGCCAGTTCCTCAAAACCCACCCTGCACAATAATCTCCATCAAGACTCCCCATTGAGTTATTCAGCTTCATGATCTCAATACCATTCAAAACACCATCAATGGCATAAGGTACGCTCATATTCGATGGTCCTACACTTACCCTAAGAACACCCGAATCGTCTCCATCAACCACAAAATCGGCATAGAACGGAGAAGCCAATATGTAGTTGGAAGCCATAGAAAGATCCAGATTCTCATATGCCAAATTCCCATTCACATACACATTGAAATACAGCAAACCGATGGAAATACTAGCAATGTCACAGAAATGCATCCTAACCAGATACTTATATCCTGCAATGGCAGGAAAAACCCATGTCATATTGACCTTGGGGATTGAAGCATTTGTGCTGTGAATCACTCTGGCAGAGTTATACACATTATCAGGGCCAACTTCCCGGCTAGCCCCTCCATCCTGATACTTGATCCGGCCACCAAAATACACCCTTTTCGACCCTGAATTCGGTTCCAAATACTCATCATCAGTAACCCAAGTCCTCCATATAGAATCATTAAACGGCGTCACTTTAGAACCCCCCACATTGACCCTATGCACAACTTGAAGCGCTTGCTTAGCTAACCCATTAAAATCCTCAACTTTATCAGAACTCACAAACTTTGCCGTATCAGCAACAAGGTCCTTAGGCGCAGATATAACCTCAATCGCATTCACAAACGCAAAGTTTGATTTTTTAGCAGGAACAAACTCAATTACAAGCTTTCCCGTACTAACCCAGATCAAGAACTCCATAACCATGGGGCTTTCTACACCCCCAGCTCTAAAGTCGGCCAAAGCCACAAACCCATTAACCAAGACATGAAATTGAGTGTTGTTCCAATCGAATTTCAAAGAATTAAAGGTCTGAAAATGGAGGCGTACCATGTGGGTCCCTTCGTCCCGGATCTGGAACTTGTACTTGGAAGGTCGCCTGAAAGCCCTAGCCGTGCTGTAGATTTGGGGCGAATTGGGAGGTGGGTTTTCATTTCTGAGTGTGATGGAGCGGGTAGAGGAGGACAGAGACGAGTCGCGCTTGGCCGAGTCGGGAACGAATAGGCGATTGTCGACGGTGGAGCCCACGGTGGACCCGCAGTCGATGAGGAAGTTGTCTAAGGGGGAGAAGGAGGAGTGAGAGAGGGCCGAAAGGGTGGAGAGAGCGAGTATTGAGAGGGAGAGGATGAGCTTTCTGTATTGGAACTCCATGGGAGGAGGGTTTGAGCTTCAGAAATGAAAATGTTGGGGAAGACCGAGACTTGAGTTTCGGGTTCTTGAGGGTGGGAAAAATCCGAGTCGTTGGCGGGACCCACGCGTTCGGAGCTGATAGGCTGGACCTTTTTTGGGTTCGGCTTGTCCATGTCGGATGATGGTGGTGCGGTACAACTGTGTATGTGACCAATTTTTTGTCCACATCGTTGATCATTCCTACGTGGAATTTACAAGGTGTAAAATTCAGGCAGTTGACTCATCCTTGTTTCTAATAGCTACCCAAATTATGTACACATCATTGCATATTTGAAAACAATTCCTTTTTTCTTTTTGAGCTGAAAACAATTCTCTTGCCATCGCAATGCTTGTTTCAGTCGCCATGCTGGTCTTAAGTTGAGCATGTATGTTATCTCAAGGTTAGCTTTAACGACTTCCAACTGTTTATGCATGTGAAGTCCACAATGCATCAACGGTTGAGAGTCACACATACATACATTAGTGATTGTTATAAGCAAAATCCTTATAATAATACATATTATATATCTTTAGCACATTATGTAACAAAAGCAATCACGAGTAGTAATGTCATTAGCCTTTTTTTTTTGGTGAGACATTAAAACATATATATATATATATTCCAAATTGGTATTCTTGTTGAACTCGCTAATATAGGTGAATGTAACTTTCGTTTTAGGCCACAAAGCAGATAGAGGGGTGAAGAGATTCCGACTTTCAAAACTCCACCCTCATTTCATAGGATAATATGAGCCCATGATGATCACGTAACTCATAAAGTTTTCTTAAAAGAAAGATAAAACTGCCGATTTGATTGTGAAAATGAAGTTTCATTGAAAGTTGAGAAATCAATCAATTTGCCAACCTACTTATTTAAACTAAAACACAAACTTTGGTTGAAGTATGCAAAGGGGGTTTAGATGAGAAAATGGTTTTCCTCCTACAACAAGAAAAATTATTTTTCCAGAATGATCACAATCGAAATGTGTTGTTATTTTCGTACATCTCCATAAAAAAAGGCAAAGTTGGCAATATTTTGGCTTATTTTCTCATTCAATCCTCTTTTTTTGGGGTTAATTTACACTAACTATTTTCTCTAATCAACATCCAATATTCGGATACAAAGGGATGTATGCTAGTTAGTAAACTTTTCTGTTTCTTTGCAAAGAAAAAAATTCAACAAAATTGTGAATGGCTAGGAAGGCTCTTTCCAATCTTATTTACTCTACCGCACTTCGACGACTTCATCTTCATTGCATGCTCCTACATCAATGACCATGGTGCCGTTCTTCTTGGTGTTTGGCAAAATTCTGCAGCAATTTCTCCTTGGGGACTGCTCAAATTACAAAATTGTCAATGTATGAACATAATCTATGAAAAGATTAAATGTGAATACTACTTGTACCAAAGTAATAATAATGTGCAAACTAGCAATGTATGACGAGTAACTCATGAGACATTAACTGGTGTAAGAATCAGTATGAGACTCACATCAATCAAGGACTCCCAGTTACTTGCACATGCGTTGATAGTTCATGCTAATATTTAGATTAATTACCTTGTCCCATAAATGTGGATTGGGTGCTTTATAGACTTGCACTTTTTTAATCCGGGAGGGATTTGCCATCTTCCAGTGGCATTCTGGGTCCGGTACTTGATCGCGAACATACTCAGTAGCTGTGTGGCTTGCATTTTTATTGTATACGACATTAGAAAAGTAATACACAAACGGTTGTTGACACGGGTTCCAACCGAAACGGCGCGTGTTGAATTCGTAGGTAGTATAGTCAGCTTTCTTGTACCAATTGAGGAATGTCCTAGATGGCATTTCAATTTCTCGGGGCGAAAAAATGCCTCGAAATATTTGAATCGTGTATCCCCATGAAACGGATACGGTCCAGGATCGGGTCTTGTCGTAACAAATGGATTGTTGTAGAAGCCCGGCGGAGTCGATCTTCATCGGGGCGTGGAGCCTTTGCAGGGCATGGACCCTGTCCATGTTGGGGAATATGGGCTCAAACACATCTAGGTGGTGGAGGGACACTAGGGGTGTGACTGGATGAGCTGCTAGAAGTCCAAACAAGCTCCCATATACATCATACTGAGTAAAATCCCACAAATGAAAACAAATTAAAAGAAGAAAAACTTTGAATTAGAAAATGACAATGACTTTGCACTATATATGGTCATGTGATTCATGCAACCCTCATGAGAAACTTGACAAGAAAATCAAAGAAAAATCAAGGACATTGGAAATTTGTGTACAAATCAATTGGATTTCCAAAAGCTTAGGTAAATTAGTCAATCTGTTGGTTGAATTTTGAAATGCTGCAAAGACACCACAAAAGGTGTGCAACATAAGTCAATAGTCAAATATGTATTTTATTGGACGGTGGTAAGACTAGCTCACCAAACACCACCAAATCTAGTCCATTTCATTAGAAAAATAAATCTAGAATAATATGCAGTACAATGAATTAAAGTTACCACAATCCAGGATATGGTTGGTAATTGGGGTTACAGATAATCTTTTCTTTTTCTTTTTTAGAATTTCTTGACATAAATAAGCGGAAACAAACTCTTGGAAAAGTGCAAAGAAACGTTAAGAATGTAATCTGAAAAGAAACTATCATTAAATGTTGAGAAAAATAGAAACGTTTTGATTCTACCATAAACTTTTGGTTAATCTTTTTTCACAAACAAGATAGTCGCAATTAGGCCATCAACAACACTCAAAGAAAATCTGACGTATCATCGGTTTAGGTCGCATACAATCATGAATCTATACAACCGGTTATACCTAAGATTTTCTCGGAGACTTAGATTTTCCTTTGTTTTCCTCTGTTTTCTCAGTAACCAACCAAAAGATAAAAGATTTATAACCAAAACACAGACAGAGAACTAACCTGGTGAAATCCTTGTTCTCTGGTGAGAGGCACACCAAGCTCAGCCATACAAGCCTGAAGCCTGTCGTCTGAGCCGTACAATCCAGTGTATCTTTCTATGCACCTGTCCTGCATTTTCTCTAGTGCCTTGGCTAATGGGTAACTTATAGCAATCCCCCCTCCACCGTAGGCCATGTTGTATGAAAAATAAATGTTCTGCAGGTGACTCTCTGATGAGCTCCCAATATAATAAAACTGGTTATGGTCATATTTCTGCAAAACCCTGACAAGATTCTCAGTCACAAAAACTGTGTCGTCATCCCCCATCACAAACCACCTCACATTCTCCATGCCTAGCCTGAAATTCTCCGAAACTATGCGTGACAAGCGTATCGCAGACTGATGGCCTTTCGGGTGCTTGTACTCAAACTTGGAAGTATCACTGGAAATCTTTATAGGTGGCAAAAGGTGATCATGCTCAGGCTCCATTTTTACAGGCTGATCCAACCAAACATTGCCCCTCATTTGGTCTGCCTTCCACCATAGCTTGATGTAGTTTTTCCTATGGCCCCACATATTGGCTGAGGCTGCAATGCCAAAGACTATATGGGATACGTTTGTTTTGGCCTCTTGGGGTTTTTCTGGGGTTGCAGCTGTAATTGGCTGAGGAATTGGAGGCAAGGAAACCTTTGGTTTTGGTTGTGATTGGACATGGGCAGTGAAAGATTGCTGCTGCCTACAAAGATTGGAAGGCGAAACAGATTGTAGAGAGTAGGAGATGTAGAGGAAAGAGATCAAAAGCAAGAAACATAAGGTGATCTTTTTGGAGGTCCATCCTTCTGCAGGGTCTTTTTGATTGCCTTTCATGGTGAAGAGAGGCTGTGTGTGTTTTTGGGTTTGGTTGATCATAATTTCCAAGAGATCAAAGAAGGAAGAAAGGTCACAAAGTTTTGTTTTTGGGATCAAATTGTGATACCCAAAAGGCAAAGCTGGGACAGTCCATTTCTAATAGAACTAGCAGAGAATTAAAAGCCATGTGGTTGGTTCATTCTGAAAAGAAATCTAAACGCTATTAAAACAATGACTTGTGTTCATAATTTCCGGCGTATTTCTATCTATCTACACTTTCGTGTTCTGTCAAGATTTTTATTGGTCAAAGAGTCCTCTCACTTTCATATATATAAATAATTTTTTATTATATATGTATATATAATTATTTATTTATTTTTCTTGTTTTAGAAAGAGGTAAATAAGTTTTCAGTATTTGTAGATTTTTTTGTTTGTTTTTCTAACAGATAATGATTATGTTTTGTCGATTGGGATTGAGACTTCGTACTCAACACGTACTTTTTTATTTTAAGAGCAGGTTTTTTTTTTTAATAATCTTTTTGGGTCTAAAAGTTTAAGAGCAGGTTTGACAATGCTCTTGAAAGGTGTAAAAGGGTTTTTGAATGTGTTTGGTAGAGAAACTTAAAGTACGATTTTTCAAAGAGCATTTGGACTAAAATTTCAACGTGCTTCTAATACAAGAAGCATTTGGACTAAAATTTCAAAGTGCTTCTAGTAAAAGTTTTTAGAAGCGGAAGTACTTCTTATAAAGCGGGTTCCAATCAAACCATAACTTAAGCGTACTTTGATAAATTCCAAAGCATACAAAATATAGGAGCCTTCTAATACGAGTGGTACAAGATGTATGATTGACATCTAAAAAGAGTGTAAGTGGATAAAATTGGAGTGAGGAAATCACCACTCTTGTTAGAGCACTTCTACCAGTTAGCCCCTTGCCATGACAAGGGGAGCCCTAGGGCAGCTACTATTCATGTGAATAGTGGCTGTCCTATCCCCCTTAGCAAAGTGTGTTTCCAGCAGTTTAGGCTTGCCATGGCAAATACTATTCATTTTTTTGTTTTTTTTTCACAACTTTGTTTACTTAAACAATTAATTTGGATAATATTTTCGGATAAGATTTTTGGGTTCCTACATATGAAAAATCATTTTCTCAAGATTTTTAGCGGAGGTGCAATATTGACTAAGTACGAAAAATGATTTTTCGGAATAATCATTTTCTCAAGATAATTTTTGGCGGCTTTTATTCCTTACGCATCAAATAAGAAAACTTGATTTTATGGGATTTTAATATGAAGTATATATTCACTTAATGAGCCATCATTTTTAGCCTAAATCGTTTTTTGCACTAAAACCGATTTTTCATATTTTGATTTGGTGGGAATTTGATTTTCTAGTATTTTTATTTGAATCCAAATGGGGGGTACTTCCTTATTTACATTGTAAACTTAAGTAAATGGAGAAATATAAAAATAAATAAAAGTAAAAGGACAAAGACATTTACTTTTTTTTATTACAAAAATATTGGCTGCTGGTGTTAAAAGTGAAGAGTATTTGTTGGTATTTATAGAAAAAAATTTCAGTATTTTTTGGGTATTTTTTACATTTTTTTATTGAGCAAAGGGAGCACTATAGCGCGCTGACGTCAGATTGCCCTCGGGCTAGCCTCCCCCTCGGGCCAGCCCAGGTAGCTGGGCCCCACTCCTTGCCCTGGCAGATCTTTGTTGCTGGAAACCCCATTTTGGGTTTGCACCCCCCCCCACCCAACCCTCCCCTTAGGCCCTTTGCTGGAAATGCTCTTAAAGGATCCGTAATTTATTGGGTACCATTGTGTGTTTGAGTGAGGATGACACTATATTTTGTATTACATTATTTTCGGCGTCAAATATATTGTTAAGTGTGAGTAGATAAAATTGGGGTGAAGAAATCATTAATATTCCGTTCCATTTTCAGCCTAATCTTCCACCGTCAGATTGTCATACTAATAGGCCAGTCAAAGGCATCGGACGAGCACGAAACAGTCGGAGGCTAAAGCGACGCGTGCTCCTCATGCTTTCATACTTGGCCTCAGAAATGAGCCTTCTCTTTCATACGCTTTGAGCTCCGAAGCTCTGTCGGCTTGTCTTATTTCCCAAGCAAAGTAAAGAAGCTCGATCACTCTTCTGGGTCTCTCAGAATTTTCATGTGAACCGCCAAAATCAACCGTAACAGGTAGGTAGCTATTTTAATTCCCACTATAAAGCTCTGTTTGGTTGCCGAGAAAGCGACTGAAAGCAACAGAAACTAAATTACAGAGTTAAAAGATCATTTTACCTTTTCTTTTTTCAAAGGGGCCGCTAGTGTATGTTTTAGTTGGGTGAAGTGTTTGATCTTTGGGGACCAGCTTGAAAGAAAAAAAATTCATCGATTCACTGTTTGGTTTTTGTTTTCTTCATTTTTCTCGGCATCCAGACAAGGGTCTAGGGTTTATGTATAGATGTTTATCAGCATTGTTAAGCTTGAGTTCATATTTTTTTACCTATGTTTCATTATATTGTCATTGGGTTTTTGCATTTTGTATTTATAATCATTTATTATTAATTTGCTTTCTCCTTCCCCTCCCCCCAATTTGCAGATTAAGATACCATGAAAGAGTTAGTTAATTCTAACCAGGTCCTCTTAAGCATGTAGAGATTGAAGAGTGCCTTTAGTATTATGGAATAGTCTGGTATACTAAGCTTTCTCAAATGGGTGGAGTTAGGCTTTCCATATTGAAATCACTTTGCAAGTCTACCAGTTGCTATTATGCGAAATTTGGCAGTTACCAGCATATAAGACCAGCATATGCATTTGTAAATCGCAGTTACCATTCCAAGGAAACACAATCTCTTAAAACTTTTGTGAAGACGCATTCTAGAGCACTGGGTTCTGAATCACTTGCCAACATCCAATCTTACAGAACCAAACCCATTTCAGCATTTTCACCCACATTGTCAAATTCACATATTAGGAATGCTACTCCTCTTTTTTTGGTAAATCCAATTTTGAATAGCCGTTCATACTCATCATCTGTTGGTAGCAATGCTGATAAAGCTGGGCAACCAGGACTAGGAGTTCCGGCTGCTTCTGGTGGCAGTGAAGTGGATATTGGTAATAGTGGTATTGTTGGCAGTGATTGGGTTGCTAAGGTTAAGGATGCATGGCAGAGTGCTGTGGATGCAGCAACTTATTCTGGACAGAAGGCTAAAGAAACCTCTGTTGAGCTGTCTCCTTATGTTCAGCAGTTGCTGGATTCCTATCCACATCTTAGAAATGTGGTTGTTCCTGTTGGTTGTACTTTGGCAGGTACTATATTTGCTTGGCTGGTGATGCCGAGGCTTTTCAGGAGATTTCACAAGTACGCAAGTCAAGGGCGCACTGCATTACTATCAGGAAGCCTATCTGAGGAGCCAGTTCCATATGAGAAAAGTTTTTGGGGTGCTTTGGAGGATCCAGTGCGATATCTAGTTACTTTCATGGCATTTTCACAAATGTTAGTGGTTTCAAGTTCAAAGATATGCTTCATAATCATCCTATATTCATTTGTATATATGCATTTTTGTTTTCCACTGTTAAACAATGAGGAGGACTTTTATTTGCAGTGGCATGCTGGTAGCACCGACCACTATAGCTTCTCAGTATCTTGCACCGGCATGGAGAGGTGCAGTTATCCTTTCATTTGTGTGGTTTCTGCATCGGTGGAAGACAAATGTGTTCACTCGTGTATTAGCGACTCAAACTTTGCCTGGTCTTGATCGGGACAAGTTGCTAGCTATAGATAACATTTCATCCATTGGTCTTTTTGTGATTGGGATAATGGCTTTAGCTGAGGCATGTGGGGTGGCTGTGCAATCAATTCTTACAGTTGGTGGCATAGGAGGTGAGGATTAGCTCCTAATTGCATATTCTTTTTCATATCTATTTCATCCATGACAGTTAGAAAAATCTGCAAATAAAATTTTAACTTAGCTATCTTTGTAAAGCATATTTTTTTGTAATATGCAAATAAGGTTATTAGATTACATCCAAAGGTTGCATCTCTTGATTTTTGGTCATATGGTTATATGTATCACCCACACCACACTAAAGATTCATTTTTGGATGCTCTTGTTGGGATTGACCTCGTCTTATTAAGACTCAACTTTTTCACCGCCGCACTTAATGCAGGAGTTGCTACTGCTTTTGCTGCCAGAGACGTCCTTGGAAATGTTCTAAGTGGTTTCTCTATGCAGTTTTCAAAGCCCTTTTCGCTTGGGGATACAATAAAAGTATGTTATCATGCATTTACGCTGTGTTCCTCAATTCCATTTGTTCTTTGTCATAGGCAAAATGTTTCTCAAGCATACGTTCCTTTCTTGTGATTCTAGTAAGAGAACTGTGCCATGGGTGTCTTTGTTTCTCCAAATTTGTAGTAACATAATGAAACTAAGGAAATATTCAAGGTTGTATGAATTACCATGTCAGCGCTGCATACCTAGAGTTACATAGTTAATTATCTTTATTTGTTAACTGTTACATAATTGTGTAATCTTTTCTTAAATCTAAGTATCAGGCATCTTTCAGTCATCCCTTGGTTGGCTACACCGTACTTTGTATGGTGATCTCAAACCCCTCATAATAACACTTGCTTCTGGAAATGAAGATATGATACTCTCCAGATTGCAATTCAACCAATTAATTTTATTGCTTATTTTGTTATAACTTCCTCTGCAGATGTATAAATTATTAGCCAAATATAATCATAGACTTATATAAGTAATAGGAGCTGTCATTCATTGGATAAACGTTATACCTTCTGTGTATTTGTTCTGACTCAATGATTTCAGGTAATTTTTGTGATATCTAATGTATTATCTGCTTCCTGTTTTTGATATTTCTTTTGTTCATGATGTTAAAATTTTTACGTATTGCAGGCTGGAGCTATAGAAGGTCAAGTGGTGGAAATGGGACTTACTACCACTTCATTATTGAATGCAGAGAAGTTCCCTGTCATAGTTCCGAATTCACTGTTTTCGAGTCAGGTTGGTGCTTCTCTTTTTTGCGTAACACTTAAACATGGGCACCCATTATACTGAAAACCACCAATCCCGTTTTAAAGTTAAAATCACCTAAGTTCATTGCACCAGTGTCATCCTGGGTATGGTTTAACATTAATATAATAGTGGCTTGATTTATCCATTTAGAATGTTTTGTCACAATATATCTCAGAAAGTTTCATGTAAACTTTGTAGGTAATTGTGAACAAGTCACGTGCGCAATGGCGTGCCATCGTCACGAAAATTCCCCTGCAAATTAATGATTTGGATAAGATTCCCCAGATATCAAATGATATAAAGGGCATGCTAAGGTCACACTCGAAGGTGTTCTTGGGAAAGGAGGCCCCTTACTGTTTCCTGTCTCGTCTGGAAAGTTCTTTTGCCGAATTGACTCTTGGATGTAACCTCAAACAAATGGTAATTCCCGCTCCATTCAATATTCTTATCATACTGAATACTTAAGCATCCGCTTTAATATTCATTTTGTGATTACAGAGCAAAGGTGAGTTGTACTCTACCGAAGAAGAGATTATTCTGCGGTCGGCCCAGATAATCAAGGAGCATGGTGCTAGGTTGGGCAGCACCGTCCAAGATATGACCACTCAATAGTCTCACGAATTTATGACTGCTATCATACAGAGAAAAGTTTTTGATGAATATGAGTCACCACACACAACACTAGTTTGTCTTAGGTTTGGTTGTCTTGACAAGAGAGCTGCATATAGGATCCATTGTGTAATATCCATTGCTGTGTCTTTTTCAACACAAATGTCAAGGTTTAATCTTTTGTGTGCAAATATTGTATGGAATCGCCCCATCCACTCTATGGTGGGTGAGATTTGACCGTTGCAAGGAACCGGGTTTCATATTTGAAATGTGGTTGCAGGCTCAACGCCATTTGGTTGAGAAAAAGATTGAGCAAGTGGCATATAACATATCACATATCAACAATTATGAAGAACATCACTCTTTCTTTCTTGCTTTCTTTGCATGGTTTGGTTTGGTTTTTCCCCTTCCAGGAAAAGCTTACCCAAAAATTGAAACATAAATTAAGATGATCAGGTGATCTTGTAACATTAACCAAGAGTTTTGTTGTTTGTTTTGTTTGGCTGAAAACATCAAGAATTCAAAACCCAACATTATCATTACGGCAAAAGATCTTCGAGTTGTGATGCTTCCTGGTCTGCCTTTGGCCATATTATGCCTTATTTTCAACTTTCCATAACCTTGGCAAAAACCAGAGTTCATGCCCATTCCATTTCCAGAAGGAGCTGAGGCCGCTGTGGCATATGATCTGCAGCAACAACCCATTATGCAGTTCATGGGACGCGATCAGAAGCTGCATCAAGAAGATCATTTAGGATATTTGGAGCACTTAAGACATGATGGAAATGATGACGTCAGCACATATTGGGAGCTGGCTGGAAGATACATGACGGCGTTGACTGTTGAGTGTTTACTATCTGGTGGGCTGGGTTGATTGCTGGTGTTTGGGCTTGGTTTAGGATTCGCCAGTTCTATCTTCCATGGCTTTCTTTATCTATTCTCTCCAAAGCCACAAAATGCTTTTCGTTGGGCCCTGCAACATTTCTTATTGGTGGTGAAAGCCGAAGAAGACTAGAAACAGAGATACTATAATATTGGAGCACATGCATGGTTTGGTTTTTTGTGTTCTTTCTTTTCCCATTTTCAAGGGACCAGTTACATTATTTTGGGAACATTTCAATTTTCAAGACAGATGCGTAATGCATTTGGTGAAAAAAAAAAACAAAGAAGAAGAGAAGAAGATAAAATTAAGATCTTGAAAGTCATTACAGGCAATCCTTGGGAATGTGCATGCTTGGGTACTCTACTTGAATGCTTAGCCAGAAAATGTGGATCATGTGTTTGGACGTTTGGTTAGCAAGAAACGCGTATGTGCTTTTTTATTTATTTTTGTATAAGCGATATTGGGGAGGGGAAATTGAACTTAGAACCTTAGATGCATGCATGAATAAATATTCTTAACCACTTACGCTACAAGCTCATTGCTTACGTTTTCTTTTATGGTTAAAAGAAGTGGTCTATTTCAAGTGTTGGGTTTATTGTTTAAAGAGCTTTAAAAAAGAAGCGTCTCTATTTGTGTTTTATTTGGCTATATTAGTCAATCTTATAACTAAATATAAGTACTAATTATAATAATAGTCAATCTTAAGACTCAATTGGTCATACAGTTGAGAGGAGGCTAGTTCATAAATTGAGAGGAGGGTTAGAGCTTAATAGGCATGCGACTGAGAAGAATGATTTGATTGTATTGGGTAGGAGAGAGAGATTGATTTGTTAAACCAAACAATAACTTTTGCAAAAATAAAAAGTTTAAAACACACCCAAAACGCACAGGTTCATTAAAACCCTAAGGTGACCCCACAACTAAAACAACGTCGTCTCAAGGAAAAAAACAGAGGGTTCAGCAAGTCATCTACATTAGAACGACGTCGGTTTGTTAAACCAAATCAATTAACTCCATAAGATCTTAAAAAGGTTAACGGATTTTAGCGACATGGACAAAATTGATGTGTGAATTAACGTGAAGAATGATCCATAACACAACAAAGATAAACAAGTATAACTCATAGTTTCGTAAACGTCACAAATGTTTATGATAAACTTTCTTTTGTTTTTTTAAACTCGGCCTATGCATATTTGAATTTGAGGTATGGTGAGTTATTAGAAGCAAGGGTGAGATTAGAAAATTTTATAAGGATGGACTTGTTATGTAGGTAAAGATCTAAATAAAATTCCATTCATTTTCTCAAAGGAGAAAGCTTGAAACTTGAATTGTTTGTGATATGGGTAACTAGAGATATGTATGGATAAGATAGAATAAGTTTTGCTTGCTAATTTTTGTGAAATGAGGTATTAATGCCTTAGAATTAATATTAGTTTATTTTTTGGCAAACCTTGCAATAGGATAGAGCCAACCCTAGCCATAGTGTAGTGCCCTTGGTTAGACGTAACCTCCCCTCCACAATATTCATCTCCTTTTCTGATAGCAACATACATCAATGTACCTCCGTAGTGAATATAAAGAGTAAGCTTTTCAAGATTTGCAAGAACAAACAGGTTAAAGCAAAAGATTCTTAAAAATAAAAATAAAAAATACTGAAAGTACCTGTAGGATGTCTATATATGCCTAGAGAAGTTTTTTTTATTTTTTTTTATTTTATAAATTTATTTATTATTTTATTTTATCAAATAAAACTTCATTACATAAACTTTAACGGTACAATCAAAGACATTAACAAGACATCTAAAATATCAATCCTAAGAGGGCAACAAACTAACTTGCTAAAAGAAAAACTAATGCGAACAAAAGCCGCACTAAAACTACTAGCCCACATCACCATAATTAACCATAAGCCCAAACAAAGCCCAGAAACCCAACATAACCAAAACCCTAAATCAACCCATGAGTCTAAACAAACCCTACCACCACCACCTGAAGAAGTGTCGTCGCGGCCACACCCACTACCGCATCCATAACAGATCTGGGGAAAATATGATTTCCAGCGATCTACCTGCGCATAAGAGCGAACAAATAAATGAAAACAATAACTTTGCCAAAGAACAATTGGGTGATTTGCAGCAATCTCCGTTAAAGACGATGTAAAATCAAATTTAAAGAACATGAGCGGCGTTAGGGAGCAGGTTTTAGGAGTAGGATTTGATTGAGAATATAGACTAAAAGGAGTGATGGGGAACTTCAATCTAACCATGGCTTAGAAGAAACCACCACAAGAGGTTTTTTTATTCAAACCACCCCAGTGAACTTATTCACTAACCTAAAAGGAAAAGACGAGAAGAGAAGAAGGGGAGGAAGGGCAATGACGCTTCTTCCTCCTCCCCCCCTCTATGGAATTTTCCTTTAGGACTCACAGAGGGAGTGAGCGGCTAGGGTTTGAGCGGCTCCCTTTGACTACGTTACGACTGCCTAGAGAAGGTTAAATAGGCTAATTCGAGTTTTTAGCAATAAATAATAATTAACTTTCGAAGTAGGATTGATATGAGTTATCAATCCTGAAATGTGCAGAGCTTAAAATAAAAGAACACGCAAAGAATTATTTTATGTGGTAAAACTCTATCTTTGGGGGAAAATCCATGGGACTCCTCAGTTCAACACAAATCCACTATAGAACGATGATTACAAGAAGTACTCACACACTTATTCTAGACACATTCTAGATAATGTTTACCGACTTCTTCGTAACTCAACTTCTGTCACGGGATGATCTTCGACACTCCTTATTTTGAATGCAATACTAATCACGATTGCTTCAAGCTTGCCAAAAAAAAACCGCCACCACGGTTTTGGTGCCCTCAACCATATGAGTCACCGAACAATGCAAATGAATGCAATATGAATGATTAAAGCGTTTGATAAATCACCAAGTAAACATGGAACACTTGACGATTTATCTCAAATATATGCACATCAACTTTTTCTTAAGAATTATATGTTCTCAACACAAATATCAAAAGCTGTTTTAAAAAGCAGATGCACGCCTTGGCTTTATGCAACTATATTGTTATCTTGCAAGAGACAATTCATAAAACCAAGGTATCACAAACGTGCCTAATTAGATTTAATTGAATCAAAGTCCTATTCTATTTCGTCATCTTGTTCCCTCTTCAAGATTACCTTCCAATCCTATCAGATTATACAAGTCAACAATATTACTCAATGAAAACTAGTTTGGGTAAAAGAGTCATACTTTGCAAGTCAAAGATGATGAAAAAATAATATTTGAACTTAAATCAAAATAGAGTCCAACTAGGAAAGAATCTCAAGAGATAAAATCCAATCCTATTAAAAATATGATTAATATAAAAATACTTGAGTGAAAATAACTCCAACTAGGAATCCTATAATGAATGCATGATTATGTCATGATTTACCTGAAATTAGTTTCCTCATATCGGTCAAGTCATGCCTTGGAAGTATGGGGTTGAACGAGTTGTGCCAAAACGTCCAGTAACAATTCTTCACACACTAATTTTCAACCTATGCTAGAGTCTAGGAAATGACAACACAATTTCATACTAACAAATCCTCATGACAAAAGCAAAAGATTCTCAACACAAAGCAAAACCACACATGTGCAGACAAGTAGAGAATACTTCGAATAGAAAAGTTGGTAGAGGTCCAAAAATTCAATTAATAGTTGGGTTAGTCCTCAAATTATTGTTTGTTGATACAAGTCCTTTGATTAGTTTGTCACGTAAATTACATTTCATTTTTGACATGTTGATTCAAAATTTTGTATTTAAATTTTTTCTTCTTAATATATCCCTATTGTCTAAAATGTTGGGGAAACATTGGTTTCCTCTTCGTCACAGCATAACCCGATGGAAGAAATAAACAAACAAACCAACAAGCTCAAGATGACAATGAGTAAATACATGAGAGAACACACCAAGAATTTACGGGGTTCGATAGATAACCTACCTACATCCCCAGAGAGTCACCACCTTCACTATAACATGAGAAAGATACAAGAATAACTCAAGAGTTTTATACCCAAACCCGAGTCCCGTATCCAATAGGATACACCCATTGTACACCCTCTCTCACAAGGGCGGAACCACACTAAGGGCTACAGTGGGTTGTAGCCCAGTGTGGTTTTTTAAGAAAAAAAATATAAAACCTATATATTTAACGTATTTTCAATATTACCCCAGTCAGTGGCGTTGTGCAAATTACCTTATTTCCATTTTCAACATTTAAGTAAATGTCTTTGTCATTTTACCTTAAGTTTACAATGTAAATAAGGAAATACCCCCCATTTGGATTCAAATAAAAATACTAGAAAATCAAATTCCCACCAAATCAAAATATAAAAAATCGGTTTTAGTGTAAAATACGATTTAGGCTAAAAATGATGGCTCATTAAGTCAATATATACTTCATACTAAAATCCCATAAAATCAAGTTTTCTTATTTGATGTGTGAGCAATAAAAGCAGCCAAAAATTATCTTCAGAAAATGATTATTCTGAAAACCCATTTTTCATACTTAGTCAATATTTTTACATAAAACAACTTTTCATGTATGATATGAATGCATGAAGGAACCTAAGGTCAATCTAGGTAAAAAGCCTTAGATGTTCAATCTACTATGGTGTTAAACTCTATTTGGTTTATGTTAAAACTTATTGAAAATTAGTCTATAGAGCTATGAATTAGCTTGGTTTATATGATTTAATGTTTACTTTTATTTCTACAAAACTACAGAAATTGTAAGTACCAAAAAAAATAATCATTAAATTTTAAGCATAACTTTAGCTAGCCCACCCGTTGAAAAATTTATGATTTTGCCCTTGCTCTCTCATACATGTGAAAAGCACTCTCTCCCCAAGAGATATACCATCTCTTGAACTCTGATGAACCCAGCTAATTCCCAGCTGAAACATCTTTCAAGACTTTATGGACTGCTTGCTTGCA